GAGCAGGGAGCCCGATGCGGGGCTCGATCCCAGGACCCTGGGATCATGACCTGAGCTGAAGGCAGATGCTTAACGACTGAGCCACCCAGGCACCCCAAAACATTTCATTTTTAAATACATCATTTAATATCTAAAAGAGGAATTAAAATCCTACAACAGTATTTTTCCTGAATTGTTATGAGACTTAGATTATAAGGTGCATATTAGAAAGCTCTTTTAGAAAGAAAATAATATCTGTTGTGCACTTTGGGCAAGGTTCTTTTCTGTGCCTCAGTTTTTTCCTCTGTATATCAGGAAAATAATAGTATCTATCTTATAATTATGTTGTCGGGAATATTAAATTCATTTATGCATGAAAGGCACTTTCGTGCCTTAGTACCTGTAAAACAGTTTCCTGTCACATAAATGCTCAGGAAGTATGAGTTGTTGTTATTTTTATATAGAGGATTATTGTATTATTATTTAGAGGATTATTATATTATTATATATTAGTTGTTATATATATAACACATATAGAGGATTATTGTATTATTTAGAGGATTTATATTATTATATATATAACATACAGCACATATATAATGTAATAATATACTATTATATATTGTTATTATATAGAGGATTATTATATTCTTATTTAGAGGATTAAATTCATCAGAATTTAAGTAAAGGTCAAGGGAAAATTGCTGCAGAGCATTAAGCTATGTCTATCATCATTTAATAACCAACTTTACTAGAGCAAAGCCCTATTTATGTGGCATCATTCAAGAAGACTTTCTCCTCTTTAAAAAATTTTCAGACTGATTGACTGGTTTATTGGCTGGTCTATTGATTTAGATAGCCATTTATATTGGGAGCCTACCAAGTGCTAGATACTCTGCAGGTGATGCTGGAGTACTAGGGTGAAAAAGGCAGGGCCCCCGTTCTCAGGGAATGCCCAGCTCAGGTCTAGATAAATGCAGTTCAGTTTTGTTATTTGTTATTTCAACCACATTCAGTAGAGTGTGATTCAGTGCTTCTATTCAATGGACAGTTAATATTATCATTTCTTCCTCAAAAGTACTCTCACTGCATATTCACATGCAGCTTGTGAGGACTTGTTTCTCACCATCAGTGTCTGCAGGCCCTTTTCCTTCCTTCACGGTGGCCTCCCCGGACTCTTTTTTGCAAGCATCTTGCATTCAGTTTGTGTTTTGTATGACCAAGGCTGTTGGAAACTGACTACAAGCTAAGAGAGATATTATTATATTTCCTCCTGGTGAACTCTGATTCCCTTATAGTGAAACCACTCAAGTATTATCAGATACATGTACTGAAGTTTCTTGGACTTTCAGTGCCTGATTTTTTTTTAATCAGAAGAAAATTGGGGAAAAAAGTCTGCCATCTTGAATTCATTTCACATGAGCAACCTCGGGAAGCCAGAGGGAGTTTATGAAAACTTACACAACACATTGTAATGTTAAAACATTCGAAATGAATGTTCCTGAACGAATGACATAATTATAGAGATTTCTCTGTTTTCAAATTTCGCAAACAGTTGTGGGGAATGACTTTGGAAAGAGTGAATCAAAGATGGCATCATGGCCTTTTCAGGAGAATATTACTGTGTCTGTTATAAGGCCCCGTGGAACCTCGAAGTAATGGCATAAAATACACACAGAAACTCAGTATCGTCTTTTCCTCATTAACATCAAAGTGCCTCTATGATACTGAAAAATCATAATAAAGTTTGCCTAACAGTACCCTGACATATTTATTATGTGAAGGCACTAAATAAAAGAATATTGAAAGAGGCAGATTTTCTTTTCTAAATCCTAATGATGATGGCAATCGCTTTCTTTAAGGAGACAACAACATGTCTATGGGAAGCTGGCCGCCTAACTTTCTGGTAACTTGCAACACAAAGGGACATACTCACTCTTTGTTCCATGTGCTCAGACATTAATGAAAGTCCCATACAAGGCCCGAGAGAAGGACAGAGCTCAAAGTGCTAAACAGATGTGCATACACTCATTTGAATGGTAATACTAAAATGTTGAATTGTTACTATAATTAAGGCTCTTCTTGTAAGCCTCCATAATAAAGTCAGATTTTGCTAACCTGGAAACTATAAGGAAGCATAAGGTACTCATATTCTAACAAATATGACAGTAAAATAAAGGATTTCGAAAGAAGGACTCCACTTAAACTTCAAACTGAAATCCTGAATAAGCAAAACTAATGTGAGAGCAGAAAATCCCAGCTAAAGCTCAGAGGAAAGTGTTCTCTCAGATTTTCGAGCTCTGCAAGTTGGTCTCATCAGCAGTTTTTAAATAACCAAAGTAAAAGGCCACAAGATGAACACTGTTAGAGAACTATCTGGATCTATCAAATTCTCACTTGTGCCTCTTTAAAAACTGAAAATCTCAGAAACAATAAAATGTCTCTTAAATAGGTCACATCCACTTCCAATTGACTCACATATTCAAACATTACCAACTAGCATCCTACTGCCAACGATTTTCCTATTTTGAAAAAAAAATCTATAAAACAATAAAATAAAGACGAGGATGGTCAAGATTATTAATTTTTTTTAACACTAAGGACTTTTCTTGGCGCTGTTATTGGGATTTGGAATTATGCAATATGTAAAATTTTACTTTTTGACTGTCATGGAGAAAATTATATATTGGCTGAGATATCTTGCTTTCCGGAAATCTGGGGGGGGGGGATGTGTATTCTTGGACTCGGACCTTGAACGATCCATCAGGTTCCTGCCCACGGCAAATCTGTCCAGTCAAGTCTTAAAATAGGAGTTTTAAAATGGCCACATCAACATAACTGTTACTATAGCCACAGAAACATGCAGCTATGATTACTGAATTTAATGAATAACAATGTAAGTAATAAAGAATTATCATACCACAAAAGCAGCGAGGCTCCTTGGGGGTGAATCCCAATCAAAGCAACTATTAACGTAGTATGCAGCATTTACGAGCACCATGACACAACGCTTCATTCTGATAAAGTTTCTTAGTAGCAGCTGTAAGGAAGATGAAAATATTATCAGAATTTGCAAGACTAAAAACCATCAGATATGGTACAAAATTCTTCAAGCTTAGTGTGACTTAAAAAGGATTCAGAAAGTTAATAAAGTTGTCAGAATATACCAAGCAATTTGGCTCAAGAGTTAAAGGAAGAGAAGTATCTCTGAAGAAAGTAGAAAGAACTGAATTACAAGAGCAATTTCTCAGCTAAATATATTTTCTTAAATAATATTATTATGTGGGTCGGGCTACTTTTGTTCAAAAGAAAAAAAAAATCTAAAATCTCCAAGAGATTAAGAACATTTATATACTGTGAACCTTAAATATATATTTTTTTACTCTTAAATCTCATTGTGATTTTAAGATTCTTTAAATGCTTTAACTTCAAGATATTTCAAAGTGAAATGGATAACGTGAAATGTTTTAATTTCACGTCTTAGAGGAAAACCTGTCAAGTATTGCTTTATTACAGAAAACAAAATTTTCACCATTTTTGTAGGAACCTCCCTTATTTACTATCAATTTTTCAGTCTCTGTCTCTCGGTCTCTCTCCCTCTCTCTCTTATTCTCTCTCTCTCTTTTCCACAATCAATTTAACCTATATTTTCTCATTGCTTTTTTCATAATTTTGGAGTTAGGAAAAAATTTATGGTAACCAAATGCTTTACAAAATCTTTCATTAAAACGGTATATGAGAATTGATATAATTTAAATCTAACAAGTAAAACAAGGCATGACTATAACTATAAAAAGAATAGCCCCTCTACTAGATGAGGGTACAAAAAATGATCTACAACTGTGTTACTAATTAGACTACTATGTCTGCAGGTTAATATTTTGCTAATGCCAAATATACTTCGATACTGATCTGGTATTTTTAAGAAGTGAAGCTTCTTGAGGTCATTTGGAAAAAATATGTGTATGTGTGTGTGTATAAATATAGATGCCTGAACAAGCATACCAGTTTTAACAAGTTGTTAAAATGGAAATTCTTTCGCGAAAAGAGTCACCCTATTTGTTTCCTTCTTTCCTTCCTCCCCTGATGACCTTCCTTTTAGAGCTCCTTTTATTACTTTTATCTCTAATTGTGAAAAAAATGTAATCTGTATTTCTATTTAGATAGATATTGCATTTGTAATTCATGCACTGTCTTTAAACAACCAAAGATCCCACTGTTTATGGTGAATTGATTAGATTAAAAACAAAACTAATTTTAGTCTTCTAATAGCACAGAAAATCGTTAAATATTTTAACACACACAAATGAGTTCTGTAAACTTTATAGCCATAGCAAAAACATTTTATTTTAGCTGCGTTAATTGGAAGTAAACATTTTTTTAAAGAGGTAGCTTAGCACCCTTTCTTAACTTGGTATCAAACCTAATTTAAATCTAGGTCTAATTACAAGATATAGAGCCCTAGTTAAAATTTCTTCATGACAGAAAAATCAGATGTGCTGGTTTTCTATTTTCTTCGCTAAAAGTGCCAATAAAAGTTCACTTCTAAAAGACCATAGTCAAAATCTAATTAACAGGAAGGTTTCCCTTAAAAGATGGAGCCCCCTCTCTTGTGGATTAGAGGGAAGAGCTTTACCCAGGGCTCGCTTTACACACACCTGCACCATACCTGTGGGTGGTCTGGACATACATTTGAACCTCAGCCTTTGGTGGTTCTCATTTACACATTCCATGGCAATCAGACAGTATTTTATGTTCAAAATGATCATTCTTTGGCTAATGCAGGAATACATATCCGTTCTACGCAGCGCCTACAGTATCCCCTTTCCACTCTGACCACCCCCATCCAATTTATTAGTTTGGTATTGTCCTTGTTTGATCTCTTACGGAAAGGAAGGGAAGAGAGAGAAAGAAAGGGAAAAAAAAGGAAAGAAAGAGAGAAAGAGCCATTTCACATAAGTAGATGATCAAAAATTCCCTAGTCTTCCCCCCCTCCACACTTCCAAAGTTTATTTGAATTTACCTAGATGTTTTGCAGATATAATCAGGTCTTCCCAGAGGGATTCATCTTTCCTTGCTTTTTACCTGTTTAGAGAGTCTGTTTTCCTCTTCAATGTACTTCTGTTCTTTGGGTATTAATGTTCGTAAGCTGGCTTTCACCTATACATCAACATATGTGTCTGTTATGGACTCATATATTACCACCGTTTACAAGTTTTTCACGCAGTTCAATTTGCAATAATTCCTAAAGTTTCAAAGTCCTGGCTGCTGCGCTCATAAAATACAAATGTATACAGTTGCACACGCACGCGCTTGCACCGCTTACGCCGGCAGGCAGCGGCCGCCGTACGGAGGCAGCGGCAGCCGCCAACTGTAACAGAAAGTGTGGGTGTGCCAGGCAGTGGCGGAAGCGCATTCTCTGGGATACATCAAGGTTTAGAGAAGACGAGGAATGACAGAAATTCTCTACAAATCGGGAACAAAAGCTTTCATGAAACTGAACTCTTTAGCAGTACAAAAAAGCCAAAGTTAAGACTTACAGCATTAAAAATCACATCTATTTCAAGATAGATGACCCCCTTTGTTGGCCCTGTCAGCTGCTTGTTTTTCAAGACGTAGGCTTTCTGTTCACCATTTTGAATCTGCGGGAAAAGGACATGACAGCCGTCTGTCTCGCGGTCTCCGCTGAATACACTCCCTCAGTGACCTTTGACCCCCAGCTGCTGAAACTGACAGAGAACCCAAAACAACTGTGGCAATTCTGACAAGTACCTGTTCATTACCAGGATCAAGTCTGTCAGGAAAAATTAACTATCATGGGATTCAACATGGCCGTGAATTGAGTATGTTAAAATTTTTAGTGTTCTTATTACAGACCTTGGTTGAGAAATGACAGATACAGAGCTGAGGGTTTTTTTTTTTTTTTTTCCCTTGAGCAAAAGCAACACAGAGCAGTGTGTCAGGTGAATAAAACTTACAGACAGCAATGGTATAGCAACTTTGCCCAGAAAGTCAGCACTTCGATCCCGATCTTCATCATAAACTGTCACCTCAAGAACTGAATGGATATCTTTAATGTTGCTGCATAATAAATATACGTAAGAAGAAAAGACTTCATCAGTGGGGAACAAGAACAAAAATGCTTTTGAAAATTTAGATGGCTCCAGCTGATTTTGTGTGTATGTGTTTTTAGGTATGCTATTTGCATATACACATATTACAAGGTAGCTTGGTATCTGACAGAATTTCCCATAATGCACCTTCGTAGACTACAGTGTTGGTTCTGTTATCTGGAACTTTGAACACTATTGTAATTTCAAGTTATAATTTTTAATGAAATATAATTTTCCATCTGGATGGGCACAGAATTAGCGTAAAAAAAAATCAATAAGTGGCACTGATGTTTTTGAGACTTTTCCCTCTCATTATTATCACAATAATTCCTAGCTTCCTATTAACCCCATGTAAAACTCCATTAAATTTGATATCAGCAAGAGTCACAGTATATCTCATACAATTTTTCTTTTTCTGTAATAGTAGGACATCTCCTTTGTTTACAGTTCCTACCAAAACATTGACTTATTTCTGGTAGGTTTATAGTAAAAACTAACCAACACAGAAAACAGAATGGAGAAAATGTAACATTGATAGCTATTGTACCACCCCAGGATTTAGAAATTAAATAGTGTCCCATTACGTTCCAAAGACAACATATGTTAATAAACAACAACTGTGCGAGCTCTTCATTTTTGTTTCTGGAAAAATAAACCCCAATTGCTGACAGCATTTATTCTTTGATCAAACTGTTTACCAAGAAAACATGAATTAAGAGAAAACAAAAAAAAAGAATATATTCATTACTGAAAGACTGCAACCACGTGTGAGAAGGGGCTTTATCGGGGCACAATCAATTAATGGCTTTGATAATAATCAAACCTATTCATTCAGTTATGCATTCCAGAGAAGAACACTCTCAACAATCTTCTTAGGAGTGCAAGTCTACTGACCAGGCTTTCATCTCTTATAAAAATGTGGAATTCCTTAAAGATAAATTAGTCAGATAATTAAATCTGATTAGTTACTCGCTCTTAAGCAGAGACATTATAAGAAATTAATGAGGAATTTAGCAGTTTTCATATACAAAAAAATTAAACTATGTTAGAAAACTTTTAAGAAATACTCTGTTTGGAGAGTTTTCCTTTGTTCAGAGTTCATTTCTAAAGCCCCGTTTAAAACACACACACACACCCTGGACTTAGGAGATACTATGGTGTAGATCAGCAGCTTTTAGTGCGTGGTCAAAAGATTTATAAACTTTTTTTAAAACAAAAGGAAAATTAACCCGAATGGTGTTCTGGTAACTGGGACAATACTTAATATCCTTATTGTACTAAAATGCAACAAAGCAAAACTAAAGCATCTCTGAATTCAAGACTGGATTGTTTGCTGATTTGGGGAATGGAACAAATAGAGCTTTGTCCTCCCTGGTGTCAATGCAGTTGGGGAGAATTTCAATAGAAAGTATAAAAGGAAGAAGCAGTATGGCCATTCAGTTAATGGAAGCAAAATCCTTAGTCAAACCATATAAAAATCACAGTTTTAAAAAAAAGAATCTGTGAAAACAAAGAAAAATAGCATATTCTTTCCCCAGGTCTCTGTCGGAAAGGTATTACAATTATGATATTCGCTGTTGCGAGCAACGGCAGTCCAGATGCAGAGCTGCTCATCAGTTAAGAATAAACACACACACAAATATCTCAAAAATAAATATTATTAGCTCCATTTTTGAAAGGAGCTCAAGGTAATGATTACTTACAATGTGAAGATTTTGTTCCACTCGGGATTAAGATTTTTGTAGACGGTATGTGTCAGCAGCCTATCATTGTTCAGTTCAACTACACAAAATGGGTCACTTTTACCTACGAGAGATTTGGGGGGGAACATTTTTAGTATAAATAACACCCACAGTTCACAGTGTCATGATCATGGCCACATCGCTTTTCTGAAAAGTTTTATGAAAAACAAAAAGTAACATACAGTTTAAAAAATTTAAACATCAAAATAGAGTTAGATGTAACTGGAGAGTGTTAACAATTGTGATTCCTAGCAAATTAGAACCTGAAAAAAGTAAAAGAAAGGAAATTATACAGCTGGTATTTTGATTTGTACTTATTTTTTTTTTACAAAAAATAGTAATAATTATTATGAGAGAAACTGTGATGCATGTCCATCCCTCAGTCAGTTTTTATTTAGTTCTATAAAGATCATTTGAAAGGCTCAACCCCTTCACTTTTACGCATATATTTTCCAACTCCTCCGACTCAGTAGTAACTTTTAACAGAAATTTCTAAACAAAACTAAACAAATTTATGTTGGGAAAACTGCTATATTACAGAATGACACCATTGTAATGTGACTTTAGATTCCCTCCTGAAATGTCTCTGGCATCACAAGAAGGTAAATTAAACCCTCAGAGGCAGAAAAAATTTTGCCATTTGAAACTTAAGCTCAACAACCAATCTGCATGTTAAAGAGCAGTATTTTTTCCTGTCCACTGAGAGTAAAGAATTTGGAAGTTATCATCTGTTTACAGCGAGCCTGTTCTGCCATAATCAAATCTTGTCCGTTCGGCAATTATATTTTGTGATATCCTCAATATTTTGTAATGTCATGTCCTGTATTATAAGAACCCCATAAAGTCAGAGGCTCTATGGGGGCAGCATTAATGATATTAGTGCTGCGTGTAATTTGTTTGATACCTTATACAAATGACAATGAAATCAATATTTAGACAAAGCTGTCCAGAGGTCATATCTTTTAAACTACAATATTGATTTAGACTACATAAGAGGTTAATGTGCATATTATTAACTTTAATGATAAAGAATAATTGTTTTAAATGCATTGTGAATTGTAGTCACAGTAGTTTACACTTCTGTGAAAGCTTAAATATCATTGAAGATTTTCAATTAAATTTTAATAGGAAGGAATTCATTAGCTATCAATGACAGATAAGTCATGTATTCCCACACAGCAGTGTATTTACTTTCCATATTGTGATTCTTAAAATGAGTCATACAAACTTTGACTCACCTTTAATTTAATTTATTAGTTATATAATAAAAAAAAAGAGTAAATATATGTGTGTTAGTTCAGCGGCCTCATATACCCCAGGATGACTGCATAATTTAGCAGTATGGTAGTCTTTTCAATTTTTGGTCTTGGGAACAATTTTGAATAACGAATAGAGAATCGAAAGTCTTTGAGGTCTGTTGACATTTTTATTTCTGCCTTTGGATCTGTATTTTCCTTTTTTTTCTTTTTTAGTCATACACACATACACACCATGGAAGACAGAATTCAAAAAAGAACATTTTGTTCATTAAAACAGTGCAAAATGTTTTATTTGCCACATCAACAATTTTATTTTCTTCCACGGAATTCAGGTACAAGCATAAAAAGTGGATTCAAACAATTTCAAAAGCCTTACTTATTCTTAAGGCCCATATAAAGTCTTTTCACCTAGCTTTGTACTGGGTAACATGCATACCATAAGAAAAAGGACACACACTACCACCTCAAATAATTTATAAAAGGGTTGGAGAGATTTAAAAAATCTACCTGTAATGATCAGAGAGAAAATTAAAGCCATATTTATTAGAATTCCATGTCAGAAGCATCAATATTCTGCCATCACTTTAGACAGAACATTAGATTGATTAGTGTTGGAACTTTTACCTAAAAGACAAGTGGAACATTCACACTCTTCCTGGGACCTTCTTTTAATTTTTCTCATATATGTGTACATTCATGTAAATCTTAATTTAGTTAAAAAAAACTATATAAAGATAGCACTTTTGGGCATTTCTGTTTCCTCATTTTCACTTGCTTTACTTCAATTACTATTATATTTCAACTGACTTGGTTTTACTCGCCCTCAAATGATCAGCAATGTGTAACAGATGCAGTCAAAACTGCCCCACCTCTTCAATAGCAAAACACAAGAACAAACTCCAGAGACCAAAATCTATTGGGAAAACATTTTACTTTATTTTATTTTTATTGCCCAGTGTGGAGCCCGACACGGGGACCGAACTCATGACTGTGAAATCAAGACCTGAGCTGAGATCAAGAGTCGGACACTTAACTGACTGAGCCATGAGGTGCCCTGAAAATATTTTTACTTTAAACTTCTACCAGCAGAGAATGCAAATCCTCACTTGATTTCTTTTCTACAGGAATTACATTCAATTGTGTAAGAGACTTTCAACCACATGGAAAGTCTCTTAAATCACCACTTTCTTTGTTACTCTACCTGTATTTGCTGACAAAAGATCTGGAGTCTTAAAGAAACAAAATCTGTTCTTAATGATTAACGCTTCCCATATCTTGGTAAGAAACTAATCCATTTATCAAAACCTACGCCCATGAGGCCGTGGGTATCCATATTTTCTTACTGTGTAGTTGATTAGTTTGCAAGACCATTCCTAGGGAAAACTGGTTATCTGCCGTTGACCACCACATTACTTACTCTCTCACTCACTCTCTTCTATTAGGATGAAGACATTGAAGCCCTAGAGACAATGCTACACCCACCAAAAACAGTGTAAGCACCTTCTGAAGCCACTTCTCAGTCATTTTGCTAAATTCCAGGGGCATTCCATCATTGGCAAAAATATTCTCTTACATGTACCTGCTTTTAACTTGAAATGGGTAAGCAAGGTAAATTTTAAGAGACCATATTAAACACTGTACCAAATGTAATGGTGCTTACATTAAAAAAAAAAGAGAGAGAGAAACTTTTATCTTAGACCAAATTACTATTTAACACAGCTTTAATTAAATATATTTAAATGTGGGGCGCCTGGGTGACTCAGTCGGTTGAGGGTCGACTCTTGATTTCAGCTCAGGTCATGATCTCAGGGTTGTGAGATGGAGCCCCGCCTTGGGCTCCCTGCTCGGCGTGGAATCTCCTTGAGATTTTCTCTCTCCCTCTCCCTCTGCCCCTCCCTGCACTCTCTCTCTGTCTAAATAAATAAATGAAATCATAGATATATATAATTATATATCTATGATTTTATATATATCTATATTTAAATATAAGGCACCAGGCAAGACCTTTCCCAATTTCCCAATAACTATGCCATATCTTAGTAGTTAGTAGGCCACACACATGGGAAGACCTGGCTAATGTTTTGACCACAGATTCATTCACTCAACAAGTAATTATTACTTACCATGTACCAGGCAGTGTTCTATGCATTGAGGAGACATAAGTGCATAAAACAATAATAATGATAAGCCTGACCTCATGGTGTTTACCTTAAGGAAAAAGACAATGAATACACACATTTTATGGTATTTTAGAAGGTAATAAGTAGTATAGAGAAGGAGTTAGGAATAGCAATGAGGAGTACTGGTATGTATGTGCAATTTTTTAAAGGACCGTCAGAGAAGGTCTCACTGAGAAATCAGCATATGGGCAAAGAAATAGAAAAGGCAAGGGAGTAGGCTCTGGGCTACCTAGAACAACAGGTTGTGGAAAGGTCAGAGAAATGGCCGTGCCTGGTGTGTCTAGGAATATCCAAGAAGCCAGTGTGACTGAAGGAATGAATTGAGGGAAGGGGAAGAGTAGAGGGTGAGGTGTGGGGAGGGTGGCAGGTCTCTGCAGGATACGGTTTTCTCTACAAGTTCTAGGAGAAGCTTTTGGAGGTATTCAGGCTGCGGCGTGACATGATCTGACAGCTGCTATTTGGAGAATAAGGTGGAGAGAAGCCAGTGGAGGAGGAAGTGGGAAGAGTTAGGAGGATATTACAATCCAGGTGATGGAAAGTGCTTGGATTCTGAATATACTCTGAAGGCAGAACCAACAGCGTTTGAAGATGCCAACAGTGAACAATCTCTTATGCCTGATACTGTTATTTGCTGACAGAAAACAATTCCCTGAGCTTAGCCAAGTCGGTCTTTTATTCCCCCAAGGACGAGAAGCATTCAACAAAGGACCCAGGGTAGTTTTCTCTAGAATCTGGCAAAGAGGAAAATTTACGTAAGGAGAGAGCAGCCAATTTTATATTTAACTTCTATTCATCTTTTCCTTCTATAAAGTTATGTTTTTACAGTTATCAGTAATGGATGCCAACATCAGGTCTTTACACACTATGTTATTTTCAACTAATTTAGAAAGTATCCTTCTGCCACTGCATGATTCAAGGGTAATTAAAAATTAACAGCAATTTCAACCAAAATAATAGTAAACGTACAATATCAAATTCTATAAACTTACCACTAAAAAGCATTCACCATAGTTTTATTTTAAAGAAGTGGCTACACACAGTTAATGTGCTTATCTGGCTTGCTAAATGATGCTTTAAATGACTGGCTTTTCAGTTCCTAAATTTTGCAGCCTTGATTATGTGCCACTTAAACAACCGAAAACAATCACAGAAATACCAGTGATGGACCTAACCATTAATTATCTCCTTAATTATTCCTTCCTTTCATCCTTTTATCATTCTAGTTAGACCCCGTGATATGCTGCTGTGCTTGCTGAGAGTGTCTGGGGAGTGGGATTGACTACAGGATGCGGTATTGAGGTCTACCAAGTACACTGTGTTCTGCAAAGCTCTAAAGAGTGATGCAAAGCTGCTCCATGTGATGATTTTACTCAATACTGTATGGGCAGAAGTGCAAGGAATTAAGGCAGCATCCAAAGTTGAACTGTATTTTGTTTCTGATAATTTTTGGCTATTTAAACAGCCTAAATGTATGGGAACAGATTATATAATCCCTTATCTCCCTCTTAGTCATTCTTGTCATAAGACTAAAGCTGACCTGTGGGTACCAACTGGCATTCTCTTAACTTTCACCGTTTGGGCTAAAAAGTGCAAGATTTGGGTTTGGATACAAGATAGAAATTGCT